TGAACTTGGGAAGAAAGAATGGCCTGCTGACTTTTTTTTTTTTCCAAAGCAATTGTGACACCTACCTGTGGACCAAGGAAAAAACCAAATCATCCCAAATCCTTCAATTCCACACCAACATCATCCCATTATAAAAAAAAAAAGGAGTTATTTGAAAGGGTTTGGCCTCTTTCCCACGTTTAAGAAGTGAAATAAGTAATTTTGCCTATTTGTAAAATAGGCATTTCCATCTGGACTGGGGGGGGGGGGGGGAAGCAAGATGGGCCTGATAACAGAGGAGTGCTTCTTGTCTCTCAGTTTTACTATGCAAACATCATCTAGAAAAGGTTTCTGATACCAAGTCTCAGTAACACTTGCTCATCAAAGCAAGTGTCTATTCCGTGTCTAGTGGAGCAAAAGCACTCCGTATTGCACACAATTCCCAGACTGAGAAAACAGCATACATATATATAGAGTGATTCTTCAAAGCAGAACTTGAGCAGAAAAAGAGGGACTCGATAAAAGAAAACCAGTCCTCTCCCACTTAAAGGGAAAAAAAGACCAAGAAGATTGCAATGCTGTCTTCAGACCCCATGACAAGAAGCAAGAAATGGACATTAAGGAAGTTTTCAGAGCAATTGGTGCAGGGAGGATCCCCCAGCGTGGGCAGAAACACCAGGGGGCCCACTTACTTGTATTGCTGTACACACACGGCCCTTCTATAGGTAGGACTGGATGCCACTACCAACCACGGTGCAGCCCTCACTGGCATCTGTCAGGGGAGGGGGCAGTTAGTCAGAACCAACCCCATAGCCCATCTATCTCTCAGACACCACAAAGCCACCAGCCCGCACACCCAGGAAGCCTGCTCCCTGTTTGGGGCAAACAGTGATAGGAGCCTGAGTGTCCACCACCAGTGTCAGAGGTAGATTTTGGTCACATTTCTGAGTTCTCATTTTTTACCCCCTCGAGCTCCTTTTACAGGTCTTATCAGCTCAAGTCTGAATTATGAGCAACAGAGGATATAAAGGGAGAGGAAGGAATAAAGCTCTGGTTTTCCATTTTGAAGAACTAAGGCCCCTGGGAATAAACTGGAACGTTTTGTTTCCTTCCAGCCAAAGGCAAAAGAGAGACTGTTAACAACAGAACACACCAAAGCCGAAGCCCAGACAAACTACAATTCGAATTTCGTGGCAGTCTGTGTTTGGCAAAAACTAAAACTCGCTGCCCTGGCCATCATAAGAAATAAATACTAAGTAAATAGTAAATAATAATGAGGTGGGTCTTATTGCAAGGCAGGGATCCCTTGGTCCTTCCCATCTCCTTTTGGAGTCATCACTCCTGCCTGCCTTCACTTCTCCTAACTTTTAGTCAAAGGGTGGTGCATTCTGTGTTTTTCCTCTCTCTTCTAAGTGACAAAGGTTCCCCCTGCACATCCACAGGTCTCCCAGCCCCTTCCCCCGGTCGCTTGGGAGTGCTGACAACCCCGGCCCTGCTGGCTGTCCCTCCCAGAGGACCCGGGCCCCAGCAGCCTACCTTTCTTGGGCTCATAGCTGCCGCCCGGGGGCCGGTAATGGGGCTCCAGCGGGTGCGCGCCTGCCTTGCCCGCGTCGCTGGCCGCCTTGGGCGCCGCGTGCAGAGCCTCTCCCGGGCCCGAGGCCGCCGCGTTGTACCGCAGGAGCCCCTGGCCCTGCAGCGCCGCGTTCAAGTTCCCGTAGTTTGTGTAGTTGCCATAGAAGGGCGACGTGTAGTAGAGGTGGCGGCCGAGCAGTGGGGACGCGGGGTAGGGAGAGCCTCCGGGAGGCGCCCCCGACGAGGCTGGCGCTGCGGCCGTGGGCAGCCCTGGCGGCGCGCAGCCCGGGCCCGCGCTTGGCTGCTTGAGGTCCGACGTGGCGATCTCGGCCAGAGACCACAGCTTGGGCTTGCTGGCGGGCGGCGGCGCGCCCGGCGACGTCCGGTTGCCCAGGGGGGTCTTGCCACCACCGCCGCTGCCGCCGCCACCTCGGGGCGCGGCCTCGGGCGGGGGGCTCAGCAACGGCGCCTCCACGCCGGTGAGCGGCGACGAGGTCACGGCTTTGGACGGCGCCAGGTCCCGCTCTCCCTCCTCCTCCTCCTCCTCCTCCTCGTCCTCCTCGTCGTCCTCCAGGTCGTCGTACTTGTCCTTGCACTCTGAGCCCGATTCGCACAAGGGGTCCCCGGCGCGGCAAGGCAGCTTCTCCCCGTCGGACTCCGCAGAGCAGGAGTGATCCGTGAGCGAGTCCACGTGCAGGCTGATCCCTGCAGGGACGCGGGCAACTTCTGGGGCGTGTGGGGCAGCCCAGGCCACCGGGGACCCCTCTGCCCCACGTCCCAGTGTATCAGGCTCTCCCCATAATATTCCTCACCTCCACCCAGAACCTACCAAGGCCTATGGTGTGAGCACGGCCTCCCTGAAAAGCACCCGAGGAACCTCTGGGCCCTCTAGCTCGCAGGCCCCCTCCTGCTAGAAGGCCTGCAGCCTCCTCCCCTCTCCCTCCGCTCTGCGCCCCGCCTGGGAAGAAAAACTCCCCGGGACTCCCAGCCCGCCAGGCCTCGCTCACCTTCGTCCTCCGCAGAGGTCTCGGTGCCCTCCTGCGCTTTCTCCAGGCTCTCCTTGCCCCTGGCCGCGTCCCCCTCCTCCTCGTCCTCATCCTCGCTTTTGTTCCTCGGGGCCCATGTCATCTTGTTCTCCTTCTTGAGGCGCCGGCGCGCGTTGGCGAACCAGGTGGAGACCTGCGTGAGGGTCATCTTGGTGATGATGGCCAGCATGATCTTCTCGCCCTTGGTGGGATAGGGGTTCTTGCGGTGTTCATTGAGCCAGGCCTTGAGCGTGGCCGTGGCGTCCCGCGTGGCGTTCTTGCGGTACGCGGGGTCGTTGAGCTGGTACGGGTAGGCCGCGCTGCCATAAGGGTGGTAGCTGATGGCGCCCGTCATCCCGGTCGTGTGCGCGTCGTAGGGCGCGCCCTGGAACCGACAAGAGCCTGGGTGAGTGGGGTTGTGCGGGGACCTGGCAAGGCAACTCCCAAAGGCAACCAACCCACCCCTCGGCCCGCCGTGGCCGCCTTTCCCACGGTGAGTCTCCCGCGGGGGAGCCTCGCTTCCCGCAGCAGCAGAGCAAGAAACAAAACGAAACAAAACAAAAACAAAAGCAAAAAAATCGCAGCGGGTTATGAAGGCCAGCTGTTGATCACAAAAAGCGCCGCAGTTTTATTCCCAAATTTTTTAACGATTTCACTTTCCTAAATGGTCTATATCTCCCTCTGCAATTCCCTGGGCCGCGAGTATAGACGCACGCAAGCACGCAGGGCCGAAGGTAGTTTCTTGATATCTAAATTTTTTTCTGGATTCTCAAGCACCGAAACCTCCCCCATTATCCCGCCCTTATATGGTTAAAAATTCACCCCAGCCCCTGCTCCGCCATTCACCAGTCCAAAGCTCCGCAAATCCAATTTGCAACTCAGAAGCCAGTCACCGTTTCGAATGCTTCAAATACGCGGCAATTAGCATTTTAATTCAGACTTTAACGTTTACATTGGAGGCTTTTTTTTTTTTTTTTTTTGCAGCCTTCACCAAGGTCCCTGCTCCTCGGGGCGCTGCCCTGGAATTCCACCGAGGGCGGGCGGTGTCGACCTAAAAGCTACCATCGCCCGAAACGCTCTCCGCCTCCGGGCCCAGGAGCAGACCCGAGGCGCGCGGGCAAGAGCTGCTTTCGGTGCCCGGAGAACCGAGAGGTACTTAGCGGGCCACAGGCCCGCGGACACGTTTATTCCGAAAGCACAGCCTTCGAGATAGTTTAAGAACCAGACCACGTCGGGCTGGGCCGGGCCCCAGAGACCCTGGCAGATGCTTCGCCCCTCCCCCAACCCAGTGCCCCCCCCCCCCCCCTCCCTCCCCTCCAAGCCCAGCAAGTAACTACTAAGCGCCCGCAGCCGCCCCGGAGGTGCTAGTGGCACTGACCCTCGCTCCCCGTGCCCACAGAAGCCAGCCCCGAGCCCGCTCTGGACCCCTCGCCAAGCTTCGGTGTCCGAGCTAAGGACAAATCACAACAGATCCCGACACCGGCCGGCGTGCTCGCACTTCCTTCCAGGCTCTTTGGGAAGTAGCCTAAGGAAGGCGGCGCGGGACGCGGGTCCCAGCCGGGCTCAGGCACGTCGCCTGCCGGTCGCGTCGCCTCTCCCCCTGGACTTTTGTCCCGCCGGCGGCAGAGCAGCCCGAGCCGGCGACGCCGGAGCCACCGCCCACGGCACGTTCCCCGCGCCCCCGTTCGTTCGCGGACCCCCAGGCCCGCTCGACTGCGCTCCGATCGGGGGTCCCCACGCCCGGTGTCCCGCGTTCCCGCCCGCCCGAGCGGTTACCATGTAGGACGGGAAGCCGGCGGCGGCGGCGGCGGCGTCGGCCGAGTACTGCAGCGGGCTGCCGAAGCCGGTGGCCGCCTGCGCCGTGAAGGCCGCCGAGCCCGGGTAAGGGCTGAACGCGGAGCCCGACGCCGAGCGCGCCAGCTCCTCGCTCCGCGGCGCGGCCAGGGCCGACGCGCCGTACGCCGGGCACGAGTACAGCGCCAGCGAGCCGGGCGCCTGGTACAGGTAGCCCTGCGGGTAGGACATGGTGGGCGCGGGGCCCGCGTCACGCCGAGCAGCGGGCAGGGCTCACGGAGCCCTCCATCCACGCCCGGCCGGGGCGCGGCGCGGCGGCGGGCGCGGGGGCCGCGGGGGCCGCGGGCCGAGGTCGGTCGGCCCGGGCACTAGCCGGGGCCCACAGGCCTGGGGAGCTGCGGGGCGGCGGCGGAGACGGTGGAGGCAGCGGCGGCAGCGCGGAGCCGGTGGGCGCAGCCGCGCGCCAGGCCGGCGGTCGGGGTTTGGGGGAATCTGAAGTCGGGAGTGAGGAGTTGAGGAAGGAGCGCTCGAGTTTCCGAGGGACATTGGAACGCTGAGCTGTCCGTCACGCGCTCATCTGCATATTCGGGCGCCCGCCCCTTCCCGGGCTCCGCCTGCTAGGCCTCCTCCAGCGGCCCGGCCGCAGCTGGGGGAGGAGCTGGGAGCCGGGTGGGGAGGAGAGGGGAGGGGAGAAGGGGGAGGAGGGGGGAGGCGGAGAGGGCGGCGGGAGCGGGGAGAAAGGAGGAGGAGGGAGAGACACGAAGGCTTTTGTGGCATAGTCGCCTCTCGCGCAGCCCCAGCCCGCGGCCGGCAGCCCGCAACCTGGCAGGACCGAGCAGCGCGCACCCACTCCTACCCGCATGTACTCCCAGCCCCCCTCCCCACGCCCGCCCTAGCCCCCCCTTCTTACCCCATCCCTGCCATCCTGTCTCAATCCAGCCACTGGCCCGCCCGCCCAGATCAACTCGAAATGATTAGGCTAGAGGCCGCCTGCATTCTGGCCAGGCTGGTCCGCTTGCGGGACGAAGGGCCTGAGCCCCTCTCTTCACCGGGAATAGGCCCACCCAGGTGACTTCCCTCAGAACCCGTGTCCCAGCGGACAGGTTACTGGGCGATGGGGGACGCTAGATGGTGGCACCGGCGGCCCGAATCTTCCTGGGGGTGGCGTGCGCGGCTCTCACTTGCACCTTGCTGGGTCTACTGTGCCTTACTGTGGGAGGCGCCCCGCGTGGCCTCGAGTCTGGTCGCCTACCCCGCGCCGACCAGCGTGTCCCCGTGGGACCCGGATCCGGGGCGCCTTCGTTGCGAGTTGCCAGCCAGGAGAGTCTAGAGGTGAGCTTTCTGCCCCTGAAGTCCTTGATGAAGACTAGGTCCCTGGGTGTTAGCACTTTGGGATGGGAATGTTTTGTCACTCGCTGCCAGTGCTTCATCATCGAAAGGGGTTTAATTTTGTCTTAATAACTTGAGTTTTCGGCCTTGTGTTGTAAAATACGCAGGGGGATGACTGTCACTGGATAGATGACTTTATCTGAGAGGACAGGAAGCCTCGCTGTCACTTGGGCAGGAAGGAGCGGTCGGCAGCACAGGTAGATCAGGTAACACAGGGCTCCAGAAGAGCCTCGTGGAGCCCAAGAGAGGCTTAGCGAGGGACCGCAGCCTCCGAAAAACCCCACTTCCCATCCCTCTTCTACCCTTTTCCCACCGGGGTCCCTCAGAAGAGAAGGCCAGGAATCACCCCGAAGGGCACTTCCAGGTGCTCCACACGGAACCCGGTGTGTGCAGGCCTGAAGGTCGGCGCCCACCCAACAGGTGCCTCTTCCTCAGGGCCATCTCGGGTGGGTGACTGGGAGGGGGGAACACCTTAGGCGGGAGCTCAGGCCTACAGCTCCCCTCCTCCCACATTGCTTCCGCCCCACCCCAGCCCTGTTGGCTCTGCAGCTCTCGCAAGGGCCTCTTTTATTGGATCCGCGTATCCCTGGGACTCAGAGTCGAGTCGCTCGGGCACAGAGGGAGTCTGCTGTGCATGATCGATAGGCTCCAGTCGCCACCAGAACCTTCAAGGCACAGGCAGAGTTGGATCGCCATCGGATCAGAGGGAACCAGTTGCAGATTGTCCTCCTTGGCCCGCAGGCTTGTGGCTCCTGTTAGGTACGGTCCAGGCAGTTATACCAGCTCCTTCCTCTGCTAACCCCCAACCCATTGGTCCTTCTTCAGCCCCCCATTGCTCCCCAAGCCAGTACTCCTACAAACCATAGCCCTGCCCCCTTTACCCATCAATCTTCACTTTACCCTCTAGCACAGCACCCCCATCCTCTCCCCCCTTCTCCTCCACACACACCACTTCCCAGCACTTCAGGCCACTGCAAGAACCCAGCAGTGGCGCGGTCCAACAATGCTTCCACCCCAAGTAGGACCTCCGAGTCCAGTGCAGGGCCAATATTTTATATCAATTATTGTAGAGTGAAAAAGGAAAGAGAAAGGGAGCCCGAGAGAGGCCCCAGCCACCCTGTGGAGCATGCCTGCGACTGGATCTATGACATTTTTGATCTTTCTAAAGGGAATTCAGCCAGGGAGGAGCCTTAAATGAGTCGCACACACTTGGATGACAAGCACTGGCAGCAACAGATCAGATTGCAGCCATTCAATTTGCTTCCAATTAAACAGTTTAAGTGTAGAAAATCAGGTCTAACTTTTTATTTTCTCAAAAGACAGGTCTTGAGAGAATTTCCATTTCTAAAGACCAATTCCTGCTGTGGTTTCATTAGCATTTGGGGCTGCCCTCCCCCCCACCCACCCATCCCCTTTCCCCCCCACTCCGTCTCTGCCTCCGGGAGGAAAAGAAAACAGCGAATTATTACAAAAACATCCCCAGTTTGGAGCGGGAGCTTAAGCTGGGAATACAGTTGATTTTGACATCAATTAAATACCTAACCAGACAAGTGCACGTGGCTTTGGAGGGTCTCTCCGTCACCCAGGCTGACTCTCCAGAAAACATTGCCTGCTCCCGCTCTGCTCAGTGCTGCTGATTCTAAAGACAGCCTCTTCCTGAGTGTATTTTCCCCCCAGCAATTACACTCCTCCACCGAAATCTAAATTTTCCATACTGCTGCCTGCTACTAATAAAAACCGTCTACCTTGCACTATTAAACAGTCGAATCGCACTACATGCCGTTTTTATTGGTAGTGACTGTAGCAAATTAAAATGCCTACGCAGAGACATTAAAACTCACGGTCTGCATTGTTACTGGAATGTAACTCGGTTTCGATTTAAAGCTCCCTGATTTTGTAAAATCACTTTTCCGTTTCTTAGATTAAAGTTGGCTTGGCTTTCTCTTTTTTGAAAAATCAATCGAAAAGACATGCTGCGGCAAATGTCCAGGCCAGACTCAGTGGCTCCTAGCACGCCCACCTGCGACGGTGACCTGGACTCGCTCGAACTGCGTGTCCAGTCACTGCGGGGAGCGCTGCTCCCGGCGAGCGGGGGCCTGGACGCGTCGCTGGTGGGCGCAGAGGGATTTGAGAGCAAAGGACGGTCTGGTACTCAGCTACTGCTACTTTCCAGTTGCCTTTCGAGCTGGAATGGGAGAAATCGGGCGGCCAAGAGGGGCAAACCTAGGAACTCCCTTGACAGCTCCAGCTTTTACAGTTGCGTGGGTCATGTGCACCTCCAGGTTTAGGATGGGCCCTCCGCTCCCCCGTGAATGCATTTTAAAGCAAGTTTAACTTGGTCACGTTTTTGTTTCTTGTCCCCACAGTGGTCGCTGCACTTAGGACAAGGCGGCATGGACGTGCGCGTTTCAAGAAGCCGACTTCCCCACGGAGTTCAAGCGCTGAGAAACGCCAGAAACGCGGCCAGGGCTTCAGGGCCAACCGGCAAAGTGGCAGTCGCGGGCCCAGGCTCTCTGCAGACGCGGACCTTCCCGGCTTGCCGGGCCGCGGGGAGGCCGGCGGCGCGGGCCCGAAGTCGTGCGCGCGGGCGGCGAGGGGGCGCTGTGGCCCGCGGCTGAGGCCTCCTCCCTGCTGCGGTGGCCCCAACAACGGTCCAGGCTACCGAAGGGCGGTGGGCGTCCCTGCCCTGGCGAGCGACCTACCCCTTTCCACTTAGGTTTATTTCGGGGAGGAACAATTATATCAGGCATTGCAATAAAACTTACTCCACATACGATCTTTGTCTTATTGCCCTAACCTTCGCTGGACTTTTTGTAAGTTTGGTGAATATTTGAGAGCGTGTAATTTTCGTTTTTTGTTTTTCTTGTCAATTAAGATGAATACATAGCTCAGCAGATGTGGCTTCGTGGTTGAGTGTAGATCCACGCACCAAGAGGTCACCGGTGGGATTCCAGGTCAGGGCACATGTCTGGCTTGTAGGAGGGCTCCTTCCCCAGTACCTGGCTTGCAGGAGGCAGCCCATCAATGTTTCTATCTCTTTCTTCCTCTCTCTCTCTCTCTCTCTCTCTCTCTCTCTCTCTCTCTCTCTCTCAAAAAATCAATAAAAGCATTTTTTGTTTAAAACATTACATGTGTCTCCTTTCCCCCCAGTCGTCTACTAATAAAAGATGAGTAACATTTAAGAGTAATTTCAATGTATCAAATTGACTGCATTCCCAATGAAGGCCCCTTTGGTCCCGAGATCCTCCTAGCTGTTTGTAGAGGGCGTGACAGCAAGAAAGAAAAGGCAAGGAGAGTGAAAAGTGTGGTTCTGCAATTTCCTTTCTCTCTCTCTCTCTCCGAAGTTTGTGGTTATAAATTGTACAAAATTTAAGTCCAAATGAAAAGTTTCTTTCAAGCATGGCATTCCTCACTCTTGGCATCCCCTGAGCATATTTTTTAGGGGTTCCAACACAGTGGTATTCCCAGAGTCATGCTGCAGCGAACGCCTGGAAAACTTGTTCAGAGGGGACACCCTCCCTCCTCCCCACCAACAGGCTGTGAGCGGTCTCCCCCCCCCTCCGCCCCCCCCCCCCGCCGCTCCTTCCTGGAACCCCAAAGGGGGGCCTAGCTGAGAGGTTTTAAAAGGGCCCCAAGGCCTGAGTCCTTCAGGGAGTGCCTAGGGCCTTTCGAGGGGACCCAGAGCTGCGGAGGCTGGAGAAGTGTCGGGGCGCCGGGACCCTGGACACCGGGCGCGCTCCTTTAGGTTATAAGACCAGCATCCTCACTTCCAGGGCTCCTCCCCATTTAACTGACTCTAGCTCATAATTACTGTGATTTCTCTTCCTCGCTGATTCGTCCCTACCGGTTTCTTTAGTGGGCAGCACCCTCCCAGCCTCTCCTCCGACGATCGCCTCAGACTTGTATCCTGAAGGTTCTCTCCCCGCAGTGCCCAGAGAATCCTCATCTCGCCTTTTCTCTGCATCTCCAGGACTGTCTCCCTGTCCTCTCACTTCGCCCTTCTCCTCCTCCTGTCGCTCCTCTCCTCGCCCCTTAACCGAGTTTCCCGACCCCGAGCTCCCGGTCCTCATGGGAGCCCCGGGAGAGGGAGAAAGGGGGACCTGCGGGCCGGGTCTGGACAGGCCAGACTTCTTTTAGGGGATCAGAGTCTTAGGAGACACGTTTCCCCAGCGGAGAAGACCTGAGCGCCCTGTTCTTGGTCTGCGGCTGTTTGGAAGGAGAAAAGTTAGAGGTGCTCAGCCTTTCCACTTGCACACCGGACACTTGGGCAGGCCCGGACCCCCGACAGAGCGACAGACACAGGCGCGCGCCGCTTCCAGGAGAGGTCCGCGCGGCGCCGCTGCAGCTATTCCGGGCGAGTGGAAACAGATGAAGAGTTGTGAGGTTCTTTCTTTTTCTTTTTTTAAAAATGTTTCTGCAAGACAGTCTTTGGAAGAACTTAGCTCACCTCTGTGTCCCCCGCCTCTCTGGCAGCTGCTGCTCCGAGGTGGCCGAGGCGACTTTCGGGTGTGAGCGCCCAGGAGGCCCCGGGGGCCGCGGGAGACCGCTCTGCCCCGGCAGGTAGGACTCCTCGCTCGCAAGAAAACATTAGAGAAGGAAGATTTCCTCTAGTCTTTCGACAATTGCGTTCATCAAACAAGCGAGGGTTGGTCAGAGGCCATGTTTCCCATCCTTCGGCAAACACTGGTTCGGTTTGAGCCCCGCAGACCGCCAATTCTGCAGCGTGTGGTCGCGCGTGCTTGCCCCCCTTCCCCTTCCTTAACCCGCTGGCACACTCCGGTCACACCAGGGATTGTGTAGATAAGAAAAGGGTATGGTGTGGTGTTTTTTCCCCCCTTTTTTTAAAATAGAAGGGGAGGCAGAAAGAAAACTTTGACAAATTTGATCGTATTTAAAGTAAAAACTCAAGTTAAACGGAAAATAAGTTACAGAAACCGACTCTGAGAGAAGACATATGCAGCACTTATAAATGCCAAAGACTGTCTCGGAGAATTCTGACAGTCTGTGAAGACAAGACCCGGATGGAAAATGGGCCAGGGACAGGCACAGACCCTCTGCCTTAGCTGCACACACTCACTAGTGGTGGGGAAATTTCCAGACAGTATGCAAGATGCCACTCTACACCCGCTCGCTCGCTCGCTCGCTCGCTGACATCAACCTGGTCCTGGTCCCAGTCCCATGTGCAGAGCCAGGCAGCTCTCTCCAGGACTGCACTAGTTTGAATGGCCATAAAGAAGTTGGGAAGACCTGTGGCAACAAACGAAAGATCAGGAGATGCCCGCATCCTGTCACCCTGCAACTCCTGGGCTCATTGTCCACTGTGAAGGAAATGCCAGGCACAGTGCCTACAGCATTGTGTGCAAAGTGCAAGACTGGACACCTCCTGAATGGCAATCAGGAGAGGCCTGAGTGAAGAATGGGGCCCATTGCATGCAGCAGAATGTTCCCTGGGGCGGAGAGTGAGGGAAGTAGCTCCACTTGTATCAACACGAATAAGTCCTGAGAGTGTAAATTTGGGTGGGAAAAATAATAAAGAAAAAGAAGGATGCAGAGAGGATTGGTGCTGATGATGGAGGTGCACAAACAATGCTGTGCTGTTTGCAGGTGCGGGGGAGGGGGCTGTCCTAAGAAGTAGAAGGACCTTTTCCCCCTTTGGGCACACTGAGGGCCCTTGAGGAGGGTTGGGGGGAAGGGGGTTGTCAGTTTCATTAGTAATACTTGATTTCTGAGAAATAGACCTGAAATAAATGACAAAAATGGTAATGATTATTAAAGGTGTTTGATGATTACTTGGGCTTATGTCATTCTACATATTTCTAGTGTGTGAAATATTTTGTCTTGAAGATTAAAACAAAAAATTAGTATTGGCATTTGAAAAGAGTGTCCTAGGACAGAAGTCTAATCTAATTTAGGAGTTCTTTCTTTAAAACAAAAAAATCTTAAAAGTTTGCATTCTTTCATCTCTTTCTTCCTCCCTCTGTTACCCCACCCTTCAAAAAACATAAACAGTATCCTGGATCTGCAGTCTAGACCTTTACACTCATAGTCTCATGTGTGCATGTCCTTGTGCCATGATTCAAAGCATGGCAGGAAGAGACAAGTGTCCTGGGCAGAGTGCAGAGGCTGGTCACTGCACTCTTTTCATGGAGGACACACAGAGGCTCCTGGAAGAGAAGGACAGTGCTGGATGCAGCCAGGCCTTCCGTGGGCCACCTGCACCCCCTCTGGGCTGGGGGGTGACCTGCCTTTATTCTGTTAGAATTCTGCACCTTCTCTTTATATCACAGTAAACGTTTTATGCATGTAAATCAAGATTAGAAAGAGGAGCTGTGGAAAGACAGGAAAGGAAAAAGGCTGAGAAGAGGGGCAGAACACAGTCTGGGAAGGGAAAGAAAATGGAGGCAGGGGTGAAGGAGGACTTCAGGTTTGTGGTAGATCCTCTCCTCACACCTCCTCTCTCTCAGAATAAAAGGCCAAGCCTTTTGACCCTTTAGCAGTTTCTAGAACCAATTCACTCTCTGCCCTCATCCTCCCCACTGCAGCTGGAGAAATCTTGAACTTTAAATACAATTCTATTTGAAGGCCTTGCACAGAGGAAGAGGCCTCAAGGCCCAGTCCTGCAGCCAGGCCTCATTACATGGCTACATGGTCCCTGTGGGCCATTCTGTTCCTTAACCTGTTCAGATCCAGGCTGAAAGAAGAGCACTATTGCTTCTGCCAGTGGCTAAGGAATTTTTCTACCCTATTTCAAGACATTATGTGGCTCCAGGAGTTAAGAGAGTGTAGTGCGATATTGGTGGAGGGACAGATATGTAGAGCATTGGAACAGAAGCCAGTCCAGGAAGTTAGTTTTCTTGACAATTAAACTTCCATAAGAAAAAAAAAAATCCCACAAAAATATCTCAATCCAAATTTTATATCTTAGATGATAATTGACTAAAAATGAGTCACAGACTTAAATGTAAAAATTTAAAACTTTTAGAAAAATATAGGAGGAAATCTTCAAAATCTAGGCCTAGTATTCTTAAGACCAGACACCAAAAGCTTAGTCCCTAAAAGAAAAGCTTGATAAATTGTATTTCATCCAAATTTAAAAATTTTGCTTTGTGAAAGATCCTGTTAAGAGAATGAAAGAAAAAAAAAAAAAAAAAAAAAGAGTAGCAGACTGAGAGGAAATATTTGCAAACCCTAGATACTAGCAAAGTACTAGTATCTAGACTATATAAAGAATACTCACACCTCAACAAAACAAGACAATCAAAACAGTCCAATTAGAATTTGGGCAAAAGTCACAAAAAGCAATTTCACCAAAAAGGATATACAGAGGGTAAATAAGCATAAAAAATGATTTTTTTAAACATCATTAGGCATCAAGGGAATGCAAATTGAAACCACAATATCATATATGCTCCTATCAGATTGGCTAAAATAAAAACACAAAATAGTGACTACATCAAAGGCTGATAAAAATTCAGAGAAACTAGATCATTCATACATTGGTTGTGGGAGTATGAAATGGTACATCTACTTTGGAAAGCTGTTTGGCAATTTCTTATAAAACTTGCAACTACAATCTAGCGATTGCATTCTTGGGCATTGGTCCCAGAGAAATAGAAACACGTTTACACAAAGCCATGCACAGCAGCTTTATCTGCAATAGACAGAGATGGAACCCCTCTCTATGTCTTCTAGTGGGCCAGGGGTCAAACTGCTGCTCAGCTGAGCCAGGAGGGAGCTATTGGTCCACACAAACTAAATGATGCACCAGAGAGGGAG